CATTTACTTACGAAAGTGAGAGGGTTGTCCAATGCTATCGACTAGATTCCATCGGAAAAAACAAGTGACAGTGGATTCAATCGATTTGACGAATGGATAATTTTATTCACGATCAGACAAGTGGAGTTATCGATCCGAGAGTTGCATGTCATTAATGGGACTCAAGAAAATTATCCATTCGTCAAATCGGTCGAATCGACAAACCGGTCACGCGTAACCTTCACAAATGAGATGCAACTCTCAGATTGCCGAATCGTGAATAAGACTATCCCTTCGTCAAATTGAACTAAAGAACTTTCCCTAGCCTTTTTCCGACGGAATCTAGTCGACAGTATTGGACATAGATGGAAACAAACTGTTTCACTAACTTGTGGTGGGAGAGGGTGACGGGAGGGGAGGTAGGGAGAGGTTTAAAAATAGAACGTCTGTATCTTGTCTGTAAAGTCTGCATAGGAGCCAAGTGGCCCATCAGGCCGGCGCTTATCTCCAGTTTCAGTAGCATGAAGCGACTAGGAGTATTTCATCTCCCCATTGAATGGGATGCTAGGCCATCGCAGGGTTACCCCAAGCATTAAATTCACCGGTACCAGTTTATACACCTAGGTGGAGAGGGGTACTATGAGATTAAAGTGTCTTTCCCAAGAACACACCACAATGACCACGGCCAGGGCTTGCATCCGGACAGCTCGATCCGGAGGCGAGCGCAATAACCATGAGGCCACCACGCGTGTTTGTAACTCGAGGTATATCTTAGCTTTGTTTCAATTTCATTACTCAGGACTGATTGCTGCATTATGATTTCGACGGCTGCATTGTGTATTTTGCTGCTAGCGTTTTTCAGCGAAAATTGTGAAGGTACATTCTACTATCTTTAATTTTCGATTATTTCTTTTAATCTCAATGCCACGAAAGCAAGCTTAGCCTTCTATATCTGAATGTCTCAGTTTTAGGGGAGGGATTATACAGTAAAGATAAAAGTTTTTGGCTTTTTCATACATCTTAAATGATGATAATATCTTAATATGTTTCATTTTGGATATTTCTTCACAGGGCAAAATGCGGTTCAAATCCATGCCAATGACACGAAGCGAATGTTGACTCACACATTTGACACAGATTTAAAGCTATATTTTTATCTGTATGGACTTCGTCCAGCGTTCGTGAACCTTTTTTTACAACGCCAGGATATTAAGCAAGAAATAGCCTCAATTTCTCAAGATCTAAATAAGTATATAATTGAGAAAAAGGTTAAAGTTCAACCTCCTGTGGAGGATATTTTCAATGCTTTCAAAGTGATAACCGAATGGAATATTAAGGTAGTTATCGTAGGTCAAGATCCAACTCCAATAGCAGGTGAAGCCACCGGTATGGCGTTTAGTTTAAAACAAAACTCAGATCCAACTTATGTTTCCACGGGCAACATACTTAGGCTACTGGACAAGTTTGGTTATAAGGTTAATATGAAAAGCGGTGACCTAACAAGTTGGGCAAAACAAGGTGTGCTTC